CAATACAGAAGAAAATGCCACATATTTAATTCTGTGTTTAATGCTAAAAAAGCACTGAAATAATACCAGAACAAATGGATTAAAGGCTGAGGAAAGTCAAAAGCCAGCAGAATAAGATGTTGCTCATTTTTGGCTGAAAGACACAAACAGAAACACCTGCTAAACATTATCTAAGGCTCCAATTAAATCCTGCAGATGAGAGAAAGATATGCACTGCGTGGCTTCAAGGATTAGTCACAAATTAGAAAACTTTTCCTCATGGGTGACCAGTTTCAAACCAGCCCGCGCTGACAGCGGTGGGGACTGAGAGAAGGTGGAACCAGTCCGCCCTCCCTTCGCACACTGCTTGGACCGCTCGCGAATGAATTATGCCACCACTCCTAAGATACATTTGAATATTTAGATATTATCATCTCTGGTGAAACAAGAAGGTAAAATGAACAGTAACAAAAGCCTCTCTGAACAGTTGAAAGACAAATATGACCTCTTTGTCTTTTGAATTTCATAAAACAAGTACTATTAAAGATTTCAGGGGCCTGCAAATTCCTACTGTATCTTCAAGGATGCAATCCACTTGAAAATAATAAAAGAATAATGGTAACTTACAAAGCTGCAGGGCAAACAGACTACAACCTCCAAGCCAAAATCGTAGTGCATCTGTTTCCACTAGTAACTGAACAGATATTTTGCCTTCTGACATAGGAGGCATGAGTATTTTGCTGCAATTCTTCAGCAACTTGGGGTGGAAAAGATGAAATATATCTCAAAAATTAAAAGTGATTAAAGAGACAATCTTAGAGTAGGCACTGCCAGCAAACAAAACGTTATTTTTCTCATCTCAAAAGAAGAATGATGGCGTCGTAACAGTGCCCACAACCAAATCTATCAAGGAAACGTCACATCCACACTTTACAAGTAAAAAACCTGTTGATTTTTGGCCCAGTAGTACAAGTAATCCAGCAACATCATTTGGTAAGAATTAGGTAGAGCACTGCAGAGGAATGTAACTAAAACTCTGACTTTACGCTGCCACCTTCTATCTGAAAGCAGCCACTCAAGGCAAAAAACTCTCCTCTCTGATCCTCTCCGCTGATCTTCATCGCTTGGTCCCTAAAGGCTCCAGGCATGGAGCTTCCACTAATGTCAGTGAAAGCTCCTGAAACAGGAAAAGCTAACAGCAACCAAAAATAGCCAGGCAGCTATGCAGCTCTAGCACAACTCCCTGCAAAAAAAATCTACCAGTCAGATTTTAATAGCCTGTCATTCTCCTTGATGCAAAGACTATATGCTACCTTCTGGCCCCATTACAGAATAATTCATCAAATAGTGACTGGCACAGCAGAGGTGACCTAAGGCTGCACACTCAGAACAGGCAGAATCCTACTGATAACCACTGACACAGCACTTGAAGCACGCTGAATCCTTGCAAAGACCTGCCTCAACTCTAGCACAGAACACCTCTTTCTGTCCACTTGCCTTCCCAAAAACATCTCTCTGAGAAAAGTCATTATTTCTGTATTTGACTGGAAACAAGAACTTCAGGGCACTCTCACGTTACCGTAATAATCACCACAGACCAAAAAGAACATTTAGTTAGGCTGGGGTTCATTCCTCAGTTCTCAAGAAATTAAGAGAGACTGTAATAGTATGTTTCTACATCAAAGGTCCGAAAGTGCATTCTAAAGAACATAAGAAAAATAAAGTAATCCAAACAACTTCTCATCAGAACACTACCAACTCCGAGGTGAAACACAACTGCTATAAAAGAGCATGCAGCAACACTAGTGGGAATTCTGACGAGGAACCAGAGAGGAACACCATGTCCAGCTGACAGTGAATTATCCTGTCTGGATCTTGATCATGGGAATATCTAATAAATCAGCACTGCAGAAGTCTTCTATAATATCTAGTCCATTATTTAATTTTCAGAAATAATAAATGCACAGTGACTTCTTGGACCATTATTTTACAGACCGTCTATTACTGAGACCATAACTGTCAGATTTATAGACAAAAGTCACTGAAAATGTCCTGGTTACTTGAGGATTTGTGCTCCCACACACAAGACACTCCACAGGTCTCTAAACTCCCCGTTCACACACATCACAACATCTCACCTTTCCAATGTACTCACATTAAAGCTACAAATTTGGAAAGCCTACAGTAAGAACACTCATGCAGAGCCAACCCCCAAACATGCCCGCTCACGAGTCTACGGCCTCCGACCAGCAGCAGGGGCTCAGGAAAAGACCGTAAGAATCAGAGGATGATGAGAGCAACCCTTGGTAGTATCAGCCATCTCCTCCCAAAGGAAAAAAAACACAGGATGTTCACAAACTCTCAAACTAGTCACACTGCAAACCCTGGAATCCAACTGTACCAACTCTCTCGGTCTTCTCAAAAGGCAAGAGAATTGAGGTTTATCCATGTTCTTGCAGACTACATCATCAGTAACAACCCAGAACAGGCTTGAGTTCGCCTTTTCAAGGCACATAATGATCACATTCTTACTTCATAATAATAACAGAGAGAAATACTACAAGACAAATTTTCCACAAGAGACTACTAGTTGGTCTGCTTTTGGATGTCCCAGTTTTGCACATGAAAACTCTCTGGAATTTGAAGTGCCAATGTCTAAACCAAGTGCACATACACATGAAAGAAAATGTAATTACTTTTTTTTAGAAAGAGAAGTCTGGTAGAAAATTGATAAAAAAGCAAACAAGCTTAACATATTTCAAACTATTGCAAGATCTTGTTTGTGGAGTACAACAGGGGAAGAGAAGAAGGACAACATCGATCTCGGAACTCCATGATTTATGACCAAAATGCCATATTGAGCAAGACTAAAAGACTCAAAAGAAGACGAAAAAGAATGAATTTTTTGTTTTGTGTATGCTTAAGTTTTGAGCTGTGGCTTAAGTGACAACAGTGACGTTTAGGAGTACACAGGAGAAACTGATGTGGTGTTCAGAGAATCAAGATGGAAAGGAATTTGATGCTTAGTGAGCCACTTGAAGAAACAAGTGCAAGGATAGAACTAAAAGATGATTTACAGAGCATAAAGACTGGAGAGGTAGGTGAAGGGCAAGAGGAGGAGAGAGACAACGTTCCAGTAAAATTATGCAGCGATGTAAAAGGAGAAAAACACTCAAAATAAAAGGAGCACTATGGAAATGAAAAAACTGGGTAACACATTGGCATTAACCTAGTGAGCAGTAATTCAAACTGGCTGCAGGGGAGCAATCGGGATGTAAGACAACAAGTGGCTGCACCCAAGCCAGAAATGGGTGCCTACAGTTATCCTGAGCTGTAGAAATCTGAGAGCTGCTGCCCAAACACAGGTTCTGCACGTCCCTACCACAGTGATGAGAGATACCCACACTACTCCTCTGTGCCACCACCACAACAGACTCCAAACACCTCACACACCCTCCCTGCAAATCATCGCTGGACACACACACAGTACAGAAGAAAGCTACAGCGCAAATAATACCGGACAAGCACCAGATTTGATTGTGGCTGACAAAACTTTCTTTTTTCCCTACTGAGGTAATAACTGAGCACTGAGATTCTGCTTCTCCTCTTCCAGATCACCACACTTTACACCTGAAAAGAGAAGCCCACTCTAATTTCCCTTCTATTCGGCACATGGGTCAAATATGGAGCATCCACTGTCCACTATAGCAGAGTAAGATGTGTTACCTTGACCAAAGTCCATCTGTGTGAGCACTTAACCATATGGAAGATCAAACATTGCTCAGGGTGCCAAACCCTCGTGCCATAGCATTCATTACTAATGTCTTCTTTCATAAGGACAAGCTCTCTCCCATCCTGGGGAAACAACCGTCATGTTTCTACGGCAAAAAAGATAATAGTTCGCTGACACTGGTAGCACCTATAGGTTCCTCCTCACTTGAACTGTCAGCTGTTTTAACATCTTGAACCTACATCTGGCCCCAAACTCCAGCATGGTACAACGTGGTGTATTTCTCAATCAACAATTACGCTGATGCCAGTTTGGACAATTATATCAGGGGAAAAGTCCAGGTTCCTAGTTGATTTTATCATTTTACCGCAGACTTTAGTGGAGTTGATCACGCTTGACTCATCAGCGGAAATGGATAAAGTGGGAGGTGAGAACCTGTAATGGTGTGTTGCTTGTTTGGAGAAGCCTCACGGAGCCATCAGGAGCACGGCTTGGCTCCTATGCCAGGCGTCCCTCAGAATCTCCACTTACTTCCCTCCACCCCAGACTCTGGAGTGACTCCTAAAATGCTGCAAGACGTACCTTGGACCGTAATGACTCACTATGCTGACAATACTTTGCTGAATTTCTCCTCCATAGCACAGCTGTGATCGTGCCTCTCAGTGCTTTGCGGGGTTAGAAGCTCAGGTAGAAACTAACTGGTTTAGACTTAACCCTGAAAGGATGATGGCAGTGATGGAGAGGAAAATACCCTGAAGTGCTGGTGAGCACTATAATTATGCTTTCTGTAATAATAATTCCCATTCTTGTCCAAGTGGTTTGTAGTTTCAGGGATTTAGTGGATCTGCTGCTGATCCCAGACTCTCAGAGAAACCCACCATTTCCCACAAGCCCACGATCTCACTCTCTCGTGTGTCTTCTCACAGTCTTCATCCTTACGTTGCTACGACATTTCTAGGACCAGCCCCCCAAATGACTTGAAAACAGGAGCAGAGCAGGGTATTTTGTGGAAAAAGAGAGAAAATGGAGAGAATGTTCTCCATTCACCGTCCAGCTGAGCACTAGCTCATATCACTCTACACTTTCTGTGACCAGAGCTGTCATTAGAAGGTATTTTCCTTGTGGATGAGTTGAGGCTGGTCAAGAGTTTACCATGCTGAGTTGAAAGTATGGGATATAGTGGTTTTACAAGCACCTGTTATCAGAACCTAAGCACTAAAACACTTTCGAAGTACATACAGAACATACTCAAATGTTAACAAACGTGCACAAACCGGAGCAAAGAGGTCCTAGGAATTGACCTGTTTTACGCAGCTATGCCCAAATTTGATGACCTGGAACAGCCCTTAATTAGGTATTTCCATAGTCTTAAAACAAACACAGAAATAATGTCCTTTCACATAAATAAAGGTTTTGCCACTAAGTTTTCCAAACTAAATACAGCAAAGCAAAACCCCTCGAATTCACGAGGTGCTTACAGAGAAATTATTCATCTATGCCTTTCAAATATGGCACAGAGCCTAAACTGCCTGAGTTATTGGCATTTCTGTACTTTGGGCTTTCCTAAGAAAACAGGAACTGCAGTCAAAACCCACGTTTGGAATCGCTTCACTTCGGCCACCCTGTTACAGCTGTGTCCTGTGCAAGCTCCCACAACTTGCCGTATTCCAATCGCGGAGCATGACTAAACCAACACCCAGAAAGTCTTATTCGTAGGAGGCTGTTCGCAGGGGAATGAAGATAAATACGAAGATGCAGTAACGGGATTTAAGCAAACAGCATGGGCACACTCAAACACCCAGTTCAAACAGTAACATCCCATTCTGACCTGTTTCAAGGGAAGACCTAATTCCTTTAACGGATTAAACTCCACCCTCAAAGTCATTCTGCCTGACACCTCCCAGGCTGATTCTTACAAAATACTTACAGATCTGTGGCCTTCACCTGATACTATCAAGGCTCCCTAGTCAGCGAGAACGTTGTCACTGTCTTCACATGACCCGCACTCCCTCTGTCTCCAGGATTAAAAACCTCGTAATCCTATCTCCCCGGAGTAATTCTAGAGCTGTCTGTCACGCAGAAAGGCTACCTATATTTATTCCCCTGGTAAGATGCACTAGACAAAGACAACGTGTTATGTCGTTACGAACAAACTTACAGTCCCGTAACAGTCAAAGAAAGCAAAGCTTGATATCATCTTAAATGAGGAGTGTTACAGATTGCACCATCCTTAATCCAATTTAGGCAGAAGCAGAAAGGGCTGAAGCCACCAGCCTTCAGGGTAGCAATTATCTGGTTGCTTTGCAAGAAGAGCCTGAATCATGCAACACAGTGACTGAGGTGGGCAGCAGAGTAAAAATTATGTGTGGCTGGGCTACTGGAAGATATCCAGACTGAGCACAACCTCTATCAGCAGCAGTTCTGAAGAGTTAAGGCGATGAAGTTGCTTCCCCAAGAAGTAACCCTGAGCGAGCACAGCGCCTGCTCTTCCACATGCTGGAATCAGCACTGAGCTCCATCACAGAACTGAGACTCACCTCTGGCTACAGAGAGAGGCAAACAAGTAAGTTACTGAACTGCAGGTGAAACCTGACAGAAGAGATCGTAAAAACAGAACAATATTTTTCCAAGAAAGCCAACGCTAGCAAAAATTAGTATGACTGATAAGAACTGGTGGCCTGAACCACAGCGCCCCAAACTCCTTTCTCTTCTTCCCCGACACGACACAGGTGATCGCTGCACACACTTCCTTGTGGTACATCTTCCATCAGTCTGGCTGAATCAATTTCTGGAAAACTAAGAGCATTCAGTCCCCAGCCTTTCTTTTGCCACAGCAAATAAAGAGGTCAGCACAGGGTTTAGATGTGAAGCATTGTTCTACAGAGAACTGTTAGTCCAACATAATTCCAGTAACTCCAAAAGCAGTTGGTTAACAAGAGATACCTGAAGGAATGAAGAACGTATAGCCTTGTTTCAGCTCAATTCTTTGGCATCGCTCTACCCTGTCTCCCAGAAAGATATCGCTTTGCTTTCCTGAGAGAACCCATTCTTCATAAAGTTCTAGATTCTGCAGAGTGGGTGGAATCAGCCAGAAGATCTAAAAATAAAACAAAGATTTAACTATTACCAACAGCCCACAAAAATAAATAGCCAAGAGATTCCAACAAGCTTATTGTACGTTAGACAAATGAACGCGTAACACCACAGAACACGTGTTTCCCAGGTGCTGTATCCAGAAGCACACAGCGGACAGCAGCAGCAATTGGTCCGTGTGCTGGAAGTGGCACGTTAACTGTCAGCTGTCACGGCTCTTCCATGAAACATCTCTCTCCGAAGATGCCCGCACAGTTTACTTTCAGCGTGTTGGTACAGCACACGTCCCTTGGGCTCTAGAGATGAACGGTACCTGTACCACAGAGATCTTCAAGCTGCTGATCTTATTTCAGGTCCCACCATACACTATTTACACTGGAAGTGGTAAAAGCAACCTAAACCAGCAAAGATGTGAATGTAGCCATATATGCTGTATATTTTAACGCTTCTGTACTCCGTAACATTTCCATTCTGGCACATGCGCACAAACGAGCACGGTATCTCTAAAAGGAAAGAGAAGCTCCAGCTACAGAAAGAGACTTGTGAGGGCACTCTGACCCAACAAGGGTACACAGCCACATACTGTATGACACTTCTAAACCAAGCAGCAAGCTTAAAGTACTGCCAACAGCAAATAAGACATCTGATATTTCAAATAATCGCTGGTTTGTTTCATAAAGGTGAATGGTGTCCTTCTAGTTCAGTAAACTCTCCATACATCAACAGAGCTAGCTGAAATAGGGTGATCAGTGACTGTGCTCCTCCTCAAAAAACAGAGAAAAATGAAAGAAAGCAACCCCTTCCCTCCATAAGAGGCATAGAGAAATTAAAACAAATATCAGACAAGGCTCACCTACCTTCCCCCCACGGAAAACGTGATACCACACTGAAGTGCCACCAAAATCAATATGAAAATCAGTGAAGCATCCTTTCACGCTCATCAAACAGTACCTGTGAGCAGAGCGAAGGACAAAAATGAATCAGTCCGAAACAGTATTTTTCACGTCTTAATTTGCAGAGGCTAACTGCATGTGTGATACCATTTCCATCAACTGAGTTTCTACATTTACAATACTGGGATTCGTCTCCTGAAGTAACTGTAATGAGGTTCCTGATGAAAAATGCGTATCTCCACGTTTGAGTTTGCTGATCATGCAACCTGCAGGAAAGCTTTCAGAGTTAAGGAGTGGAAAAAAAACATTAAAAGTTATGCTGTTCAGAAATATCTCTTGTGCCACTACCAATCCCCGGGGTAATCTGTTTAATGCTCTCCTTCACCGCTCGAGGGTCGTAACCTTCACCCACAGTTGCACACAAATTGCTTCAAAGAGCAAAGTTTTGAAAAATCTGATTTGCTTACAAATCCTCCTGAATGTTCTTTACCTACGTGCCAATAATGCCATTTTTGCAAGGATTGGGGGACAGAAATCTCATCTGGCAAATTAACTCCTTTTTGTTCCCATTTCTAGGCATTTCTGCATCAAAACACATAAAGGAACCAGTGGGCAGCACGGCTAAGTATTAAATCCACTATTTTTCACGCCAGCTCGACTCAGGTTTTCAAAGCAGTTTAAAGTCAGCGTCGCTGGGAAGAGGCAGAAGAGCTCTTGTCTGGCTGCGCAAACCTCGAGCCTCCAGCCACCATCTGTAACTAATGGCCGAATCACAGCCTCCCTCCTCACTACAGGCACCTTTGCAAACGCAGGAAACACACACCACTTAACCCACTAACCTCTTTTCCTTGTTCCGGTCTCCGTTTCATGGCTTTTTTTTTTTTTTTTGGCTTTTTTTTTTTTGGAGTGGAAGGGGAGGCGTTATGGAAACAGTACCAGAATGGGATTTGTCCAAAAAAAGAAAAAAGGTATCATTTAAGTGTGTCTTTTTCTCGTCACATTCAGGTAGAGAGAATCTCAGCAGTATGCAGACGGCGTGCAAAAGTCCCTCCAGATGATAGGCTGGAAAGGACCTTACCATGTGTCTGCAGAAGGCTGGCAAATCAGAGAGGCTATAGGTACATAAGAGCCCGCTGCCTAGCAACCACATCCCGAGCTGGAGTTGACAGAATGATACGCAATGCTGTCATGAAGACAGTCAATTTGTGGGCTTCAAAAAAGGTCCTGTGCCCTTCATCTCACAATTAAAACCTCTCCTTGTGCAATTACACAGCTCTCCTCTTGCCCACTCTGGAATTTTATTTTTATTATTTTTTTTTTAAATCCTTCAGAAGCAGGAAGAGAGCGTTTTCTGCCCCTGGGGTATTTCAGATGCTTCAAAAATCACAGCTAGCCAAGAAGCTGTCTAGACTCTCAATATGCTCCATTTCAAAATATGAGTCCTTCCCTCCCAAATACATCTTTTTTTAAAATTTCTCCTTTTATGTCTTCTCTACCAAGATGTTGTTGATTACAACTCTGATAGAATTTTAAAACAATAAAAGAAGCCCAGAACGGAAGTTGCCTTTCTTCCAGCCAAACTGCAAAAAGTCACAGATTGAATAATTGCTCATAAAACAAACAAAAAAAAAACATGGAAATTCTGTTTGTGGGCAGTGTCGAGTATTACAGGTTCATGTTGTTTTAAAGCAGAAAACTCCAAATCCTTATGGAATCGATTATTTTCAGTCTCCAAAAGGTCAGATGTGAAATACACCACACCAATAAATATTTTCAAAGACAGTGCTGCCTACCAACCCTTGCCCATTCACATGATGATATTCTGAGAGAGCATAAATGGTCTAAGCATTAGTCAGTTTTATTTATTCCTTGGTAGTCAATATCTAAACTTGAAGCTGTTGTTCTGTTTGTATTCAGAGAGGAAATAATAGGATTCCCTGACAAACCAAGTGCTTAAAATTTAGTTTTGTGAGAAACCACCAAGGCAGATATAACTGTGAACACACAACTCTTTTTTTTTTTTCCCATTTTCTCTCTGTTTTCTTGAAACTCCTCTACACACAACAATTTCCATTTCAATAAAGGTAGTTTTAGTGAAAGAGACACATAGGGTGATTAATAAAAACCTACAAAGTATTTGGAAAAAAAAAACCAAAACAACACCCAAAACCCAACCAGTTTCCTTTCCATCCACAAACAAGCCGTGCCATTTAATTTCTACTGTTAACCTAACAGGCTGCTTTCATCCAACCCTCAACAGCTACCAAAAGGGCTCAGGAGCCTGAAAAAGAAATCTTCCGCCATATAGCAACCTCTGTTGTTGCCAGAGCCTGGCACAATGCCTTTGCATTGACCTCTACAGCTTCCTCTTCCAATGTACACCGCAGTCACATGGGCCCAGCACAGCTCCGCGCCACAGCTCATCTCGCACACCGCTCGCTCCAGCCTCAGCCAGCGGCTTCTCCTCACTAACAGCTGCTAATTTGGGGAACGAATCAACTTTTCAGGTTTTTCTGTAACCCACTCCCCCCCCCCAAAAATACCCCCCCCCCCAAAAATAGAAAAAAGCCGTAACACTGCATCCATGTTGAAAGAAACATAGAAACTACATCCCACCGGCGCTCTGGGCGCAGCTCTGCCTTCAGCGCTTTGGGCCAGAGCGGGTCACGGGAACACAATCCCACGTAGGGCATGTGGAGACAACCTGTCCAGAGTTACACCCTGGGGGAAAACTAAAAAACAACAAAACCAAAAAAAACCCAGCACAAACAGGCGATGCAAAAGATGCCCCAACTTTTTTTTTCTTTTTTTTTTTCCAACTGCTGCCACATCCAATCCCTGCACACTCACTCCACTTTCTCTCCCCCGCAGAGCTTCAGTTCGGGTGTTAAAACATGCAGCTGCTTGTAATCTGGGGGGGAGCTTCCCTTCCCCGCTCAGGAGTTTGGTTTATGCTCTCTCCACAAGGCTGGGATTGTTCAAGGGGATGCATTGTTGTTCTGGAGGAAGGATTTGGCGCCGGCCGGGAGAGGGGAACTTTCCACCCCTCCCAAAAAATAACGAGTACAAAAATCTGGGGAAATTTAAGAGGAACGATGGAAGAAACATGGAGTAACCTGCAAACTCAGGAGGAAGACCGAACCCAGAGATGCCCGGCAAAGCGAGCGGC